TTCTAAGTATAGTACAAGGCAAAATATGTTAAATTCCAGAAAAAGAAATACAAGGCACTATGAGGGTTAAGAAGAGAGAGAATTGGCACACTGTTAGGGGAAATCAGGAAAAGTTTCATGAGGAGGTGACATTTCAGATGTGCCCTGAAGGACAGGCAGGTAGAGTTTTGACAGGGACACAGGAAGAAGGCATTGCAAACAAAGAAGCCTCACAAGAAGAGGCATAAAGGTAAGAGAAGACAGTGCATATTGAATGTAGTTCAAGTTGTCCCAGAAAATAGATTGGGCCAGGGAGCAGATGAAGACTGAATGAACAAATTGGGCCACACTGTGGAAGGTCTTGAATGCCAAATTGAGGATTTTGGATTTCATTAGGTGAGCAGCCAAGTTTTTGAGTAGAGCATGGTCAGAGATATGTATCTATCTACCAGATGCCTATCTACCATTTCAACAATGAGAGCTGCAGTGCCATGCTCATCTTTTGAGATGAAAATTTTACTACAGCAGTGTTAAACTTGGATTTAGGAAGAAATGTTCAAATTCTCCCTCAGGCTTGCCTCTTTCAATCTCAGTTTCCTCATCTGTAAAAGGGGATAATAATAATTGCAATACTTAATTTATAGGGATAGTGTAAGGATCAAACAGGATAATACATGGAAAGTGCTTTGCAAACCTTAAAGCACTGCATAAAAACCTGTTACTGTTGTACTTATGTGCCAAAGAGAAATGTTACCCATTTTTCACTTCAGACATTTTTTTTTTTACTAGTCAAGGCTTATGGTAAATTATTTCTTTATAGGTAAAATAAAATTCAAATGAAAATATAAGTTGTTGGGGGGGGTTTTCTTCACTGTAGGAGGGGCTGGTTTCCATTATCATATACAAAGTCACTAGAAGAAAATGAAGAAGGAACACTAAATGTGCCAACTCCCAGGTAATGATTTGAGCTGTGAATTGTATTTCTCTATACAAAATGCACTCTTTGCCTGAAAGCTTTATTGTCCAGTACTTCTCCAGGTATATTCATTATTCATTAACGTACTGGAGACTCGTTGCGTGTTGAATAGTAATAAAAAGCAACTTCTAGGCTGTTATTACTGTTTTGCATTTTTTTACCTTGCATTTATGTAATTCTTTTCCTTAAATCTTCCACAACACGAAAATAGTATTTCAAGCCCAGATTCCCTAAATAGGAGAGGAAATAAGTAACATACTGAGACATTAAGAGGAAGGTACATGGTAATGGATAATATCTATGAAAAATAAAAAATTCATCTTAATTATTGGCCTCCCTCACATATTTCTTCAGTACCTAATATGTTCTGAAGATGCCTATAGCAAAACAAATGAGGAGGATAACAAGCATAATAGAAAATGATAGAACTATTGTACTTTAAGGGATAGTGTACTGGTTTAAAAACAAACAAATTAGGGCAATTTGATACCGGCAGTACTAAATACAGCTGACATTATTTGTCAGCTTCTCTAAAGTTCAGTGTATCTAGAAATCCCCCAGATGTCATAAATTGTTGTCTCCTATTTGTAATCCTTTTTCAGGATTTCTCAAGTGTCTAGTTATAAGTTCTCTCAATATACAGCCCTTTCTTTTTTACTTTGCATATAAGTTTAGTGCAGATTCTGACCACTTGATGTTAGAAGCTTTGTTGTTTAGACTATGAGACTTGATCTAATACATTTCTTCCCCCTTCCCTTCATTTTTTGGTTTGTAGCCCTGCACCTGTTAGAAGCATCAGTACAGTGAACTTAGCAGAAAAAAGTAATGTTGTCATCCCACCTCCTGATTATCTAGAATGTTTATCTGGAGTTGCTGCTGCAGACAGAATAGATACGTCTTTGAAAGGTTCTACATTTAAGTCACCAGCACCCAAACCGGAAATCACAGCTCCTGTGAGTAAAACTAACTGATAACTCAACTTGAACAGCAAAACCATTCCCTAAAGCAGAAATATTTCACTTCTTGATAACACTGAGGCAATTCCTTGTTGTTGTTAAGTCATTTCAGTCCTGTCTGACTCTTTGTGACCCCATTTGGGGTTTTCTTGGCAAAGATACTGAAGTGGTCTGCCATTTCCTTCTCCAGCTCATTTTATAGATGAGGAAAGTGGGGTAAACAGGCTTAAGTGACTTACCCAAGGTCACAAAGCTAGTAAGTGCCTAAGGCAGGACCTAATCTCAGATCTTCCTGACTCCAGCCCCAGCACTCTATCCACTGTGTCATCTAGGTGACCTGAAATCATTCCTATCTAGACATTTATTCTATTGAAGAACTTTAGGTGATGTCTGTACTGTGGGGAGTGTTTTCTCAGTTCCAGGTCCTTCTTTGTCATACAACCTTAACTTAAATAATTATTTTGTTCTTGTGTTATCTTTCAATTATTTACACACCATTATTTTCCTGATTCCCAGATTTTTTTTTTCATATGCACATCAACATATCAACACATCATATCTCTGCTCATTGTAAGCCACACATGCACACTAATCCTTTGTCTGGTTGCCTTTCTTTGGATTTTCTTCATTTACCAATTTTATTTTTCTGTAGAGCTACTTTATTTATTTATACATCTTGTTAAAATTTAGGTTTACCTATATCACTTATTGTTGTTTAGTAGTTTTCAGTAGTATCCAACTCTTCATGACCCCATTTGGGGTTTTCTTAGCAAAGATACTGGAGTGGTTTGCCATTTCCTTTTCCAGCTCATTTTATAGATGAGGTAATTGAGGCAAGGAGGATTAAGTGACTTGCCCAGGGTCACGCAGCCAGTCCGTCTGAGGCCAGATTTGAATTCAGGAAGAGCCTGACTCTAGGCCAGGCACTCTATCCACTTCCCTTATCAGTTATACATACATCAAGTCATTTTTATTGTTCTTCACATTGCCCTTTAAAGTATCTTTATTATCCTTATTTGACTGAAAAAAAAAAAACCTAAAATTTTCAAGAGGATGAGGAATGTCCATTGATTCCTTACTGTCCTGGGGCCATGGTAAATCTCTCTGCTGATTAGGCCTTTTTTTTTGGGGGGGGGAGTAGATCTCCTCACAATTCTACTCCATCACTGCTTGCAGCCTTTTCTCTTTTTTCGAGGCCAATTCTGCTTGTTACATTAAATGGGGGAAGTGACTGGCATAGTGGAAAGAGCAACAAATTCTCAGTCCCAAGACCTAAATTTGAATCTCAGTCTCCTACTTAATACTTGTACAAATTGGAGCCTGACCAGACCTCATTTTCTTCATCTGTAAAAATGATGAGGTTCTACTTAAATGATCTCTGGAGCCCTTCCCAGTTTTAAATCTTCTGACCCCAAATAGGTTGTCCTTCTTTTAGAGTTAACGTTGAGGAGTATTGGCAAAACAAGTAGACTGCCAAAGCATTGAGCCATACTGTAATATATTTCATTCCCCACAAGTTCAAGCTCTTGGATTCACATTGAGGAATATATTTCTCTTATGTATGTTCCTTTAGATGACTAGATTATATTTTGGAATATTTATACCCTATAGAAAGCTAATTTTAAAAGCAGCCTTTCATAAGAACTTAATGTAGTATTGAAAGCAGAAAAAATAAGACTTTCCTATTTAGCCAAGAGAATGCAATTATACGTATGGCAGTTGACTAAAAAGTTATTTGTTAAGGGAAAAAAATTAAAGATATATTTATTATTTAGTCATTTTCAGTCATGTCTGACTTTTCTTGACCCCATTTGGGGTATTCTTGGCAGAGATACTGGAATGGTTTGCCATTTCCTTCTCTAACTCATTTTTATAGCTGAGGCAGACTGGGTTAAGTGACTTTCACAGAGTCACACAGCTAGTAAGTGTCTGAGGCCACATTTGAACTCAGGTCGTCCTGACTCCAGGCCTGGCACTCTATCCAATATACCACTTAGCTGGTATGTTGATATATTGGCATATAAAATTATTTATACATACATGCATACATACATACATACATACACACATACATATATGTAATTGGTTTTTAACAAATTGAAATTATTTTAGTCTTACATTTATTCCATCAAGAATCTAAATTGAGGGGCAGCGAGGTGGCTCAGTGGATAGAGCACCAGCCCTGAAGTCAGTGGGACCTGAGTTCAAATCCGGCCTCAGACCAAACACTTGACACATACTAGCTGTGTGACCTTGGGCAAGTCACTTAACCCCAATTGCCTAAAAGCAAAAAAAAAAAAAAAGAATCTAAATTGAAATTCAGGTTCCATTGATGTAAATAGAACTATCATTCCTCTGGGCTGGGGAGGAGAGGGGAAAAGAAAATTATTTTACTCCTACTCAGTAACCGAGTGTCAGATTTGAGACTGGCCTCAACATATTTCCTGGGGCATAAAAACACTTTTTTAGATGATGAAAGAACCTTTGTACTGCATTTTATAAAGTTATAATCTTCCTAAAAGTTACTGCATTTTACAGTAAACTCAAGGTAGGGTTAGAAAAGGCATATTCCTTTTGAAGAATAAATGGCTAGCCAATCTAACAGTACCTTTTAAAATGAAAAAAAAATCTCAACAAGAAGGTAAACAATTCATTCCACAAGTATTTATTAAGCACCTACTGTAGACACTGGGGATGCAAAAACAAACAAACAAACAGTCCCTGCCTTCAAGCATTGTAGATTTGGATTTGGACCAAACCTTAGAAGTCCTCTTAGTCCACACTTCTCATTTCGCAGGCAAAGAAACTGCAGCCCAGAGAGGTGAAATAAACTAATGTACCCATAGCCACACAGCCAGTAAGTGTTAGAGACATGATGTGAACCTAGTTTTTCCTGCCTTTACACCTAACTCTTGAACAATTCTACCACACAACCTCTCATGAATCCTAGGATAGGATGGTTTCAAATTGATCTAGGTTATGGACCTAGTACACTTCTGCTTACATTCTATCGAAAAGAAATATGTACTCAGATGAGTATATATAAACTTCCTACAAATATAAAAGATAAAGTAGGGGAAGGCACTGACCTTTGGGAGGACCAGGAAGAGGCCTTCATAGGAGGGGGCCGGTAAGCTGAGCCTTGAAGGGAACAAGGAGATGGGAGAATACCTCCAGCAACATGACTATCCTGCTAAGAGAGAGAGACTGGTATCTAGTTTTTTAAAATCAAGAATTTTTATTCCTTCTCATGTTTTTTACTTCTTGTTTAAAACAATGGTTAAGAAAGTCTCAGTGAGTTTGATCAATTGAAAAATACATTATCATCACCAGCATTTCTATAGCACTTTTAAGTTTATTACATATATTGTCTCATTCCTCCTCAGAACAGCCCTATGAGGTAGATGTTATTATTATCCCCATTTAACAGATGAGGAAACTGAAATTGAGAGAGGTTAAATGACTTGCCCAGGGACACATAGCTAATTAATATCTGGGGCAGGATTTGAACACAAGTCTTCTTGACTCTAAGCTGAACATTCTGTGCTGTACCACCTCCCTATATATACATATACATATATATACACACATACATACACATAGATATGTATATATCAGTGATTATAAGTTCATTATTTGGTCTCTGAGATCTAAATTTGCACCTTGATTTCTGAGAGTATGTATAGATAGGATATCATGAAAAGTGCTGAGATTACATAACAAGTGAAATGAAACCTGTAAAAAATATGTCTCCTTTTCTTCTCCTCTACTTCCTTGTGTCTAAGTAGTTTGAATGTAGAAGTTCTAACAAAGAAAAGAAGTGTGTACTTTCTTGCAAGGTTACCCAGGAAGGGTGTGGAGGTGAAAGGGAAGGGAAAGGAAAAGTTAAAGTGTGTTTTCTTCTCCCTCCTGCCCTCAATCATGAGCAGACACTGCACTTGGCTCTCAGATTTGTTCTTGTGCCCTTATACATACTCCCTTAGTGAGTTCATCCCTTCTGTCCTGGCTTTAGCTATCATCTTTGAGGAGATGAATCCCAAACTTGCTTTTCTGGTCCTGAAACTTCATTGGGATTTCAAGTTATTACCCGAGATCAAATCTAGCCTCAGACACTCACTAGCTGTGTGACCCTGGGCAAAGTCCCAACCTCTTTCTGCTTCAGTTTCCTCCTCTGTAAAACAGAGATAAGGTTGCACCCACCTTACAGGGCTGTTGTGAGGATCAAATGAGATAATGTTTGCAACGTGCTTAGCACAGTTCCTGGCACATGATAAATAGGAACATACAAATGTTAACTATTATTATTGTTGTCGTTATGAACGGAAATTTGTCTTCAAATCTGGCCAGTAGGCTACATAGATTCCCAAGCCCAGAGTCAACCTTGATTCTTCCCTGCCCCCCAGGTGACCATATATATAATGAGTTGTCGAATCTGGTTAATTCTCCCTCCACAATAGCAGTTACACTTATTCCTTTCTCTCCACTCACATAGCAGCCACCCCAGTCGAGGCCCTCACCACCTTTCACCTGTACTATGGCAACATTTTCTTTGTTGGATTCCCAGTTTCCAGTATCTCCTTCTCTATCCATACTCCACAAAACCGAACAAAATAATCTTCCTACAGTGAAGGCCTGACCTTGTCACTTTTCTCCTCAAGAATCTTCAGTGGCTCCCTGTTTCCTCTAGAATAAGATACAAACTCTTCGGTTTGACCTTTAAAACCTTTTGCACTTTGATTTTAGCCTACATTTCCAGATTTATTTCACATTGCTCCCCCACGAGCATGATGTATTCCAGCCAAACTGGCCTGTTTATTGTTCCTTAAACTCAGCATTCCATCCCCTAACTCCATACCTATAATGCACATCTTCCTTATCTCTGCTTCTTCAAGTCCCTAGATTCCTTTAAGGCCCAACAGGAATCTCTTCTTCTGTCAGATATTTCCTAGTGTTAGTATTCTTCCCCTCCTCAAATTATCCTGTATTTACATCTCTGTTTGTTTATTTATATCCCCCAGTAGAATGTATTCTCCTTGAGGACTGGACTCCATTTTCGGTTCCTCCTCACCCTTGGCTCTGCACCTTATGAGTAGTAGGCTGCTTGGTAGATGTTTGCTGGATTGTCTTGAATGTTAGAAGTAATGGTTTTATGTTACTTTTTTTTCATTGTTTTTGTGTTAGCTTTAGTATTGTGTTTGATCACTTGTTTTTCAAAACATTTCTTGATATTTGAGGATAAAGGCGAACTCTGTTTTTATTATGATACCACTAAAAAGAACTATCCCACCTGACATTTATATAGTGTATGCATCATTTGGAAAAAATTTCAGTCGCATCTTTAAGAGGCTTAAGTTTTTAACATATAATTGATGTGCTATTTCTGTACCTGTATGAATCAAAATAAATGCCGAGGATTATGCAACACAGTTAATAAGTTGCATAAAGTCAAAATACTGTCTACTATAGTAACATTATTTCATCTTAATTCTTTTTATACTTTAATGAAACTCATTTACCTCTTCCAGTGACAGGCAGAAAATGTGCTATTTTTGTACATATTCATAAATTGGGAAATTATTGTTTTTTCTGATCTGGAAGTTAATGGAGAGGAGGGAAATACTTCATGTTCCAAGTAACTGTCAGCTGAGTTTTATGGCTTGGGAGGGAAAGCATGGAGTCCTTCAGGCTAGAGACATAACCTGGAAACAGAGACAGGACAAGAGCATTTGTGTGTCCTTGGCAAGGCTTGAAAATTGGGCCTCCACTGTAACATAAGGAAGTACAAGGCAGAATGACCTAGGGATAGAAACTGGACTTGAAAGTCAGAAAGACCTTGGGCCAGATCTCACCCCAGGTAACTTATTAGCTGTGTTGATCCCAAGCAAGTTGCTTAAGTCTTTGAGCCTCAGTTTTTCCATCTGTAAAAATACATACTTACCTTGCAGAGTTATTCTGAACCTCAAACAAGAGAAAGTATAATACAGCACTGGCCCTGGATTCAGGAGGACCTGAGTTCAAATGTGGCCTCAGACACATAACACTTACTAGCTGTGTGACCCTGGGCAAGTCACTTAACCCCACTGCCTAACCAAAAAAAAAGAGAGAGAGAGAGAGAGAGAGAAAGTATATATAAAGACCTTAGCAAACCTTAAAACTGTCTATAAATTTGAGCCACCATTTTTCACAAATAATGCATATGTGGCATAGAAAGCAGAATTTGGGCATTTAAGATATGCACATTTAGTTTTTAAACCTAGCATTAAAGGGTGAGCTTTATCGTGCTCCTGCCTTTGCTTACTTATAGCTGCCTCTGGCCAGTCAGTCCCTTTTCTGCCCAGAAGGACCAAGAAGTACTTCAAGATTTCATGGTGTCTGAATGCTGATAACTGTACCTTAAGGGCTACTTACTGTGTGACCTTGCCTCTTTTTCTGTTTCTCTTATTCTCCATCTGCAGAAGGATGAAAATAACTCCTCTGTCCCTGGGATGGGGAGAGCAACAATTGTGTTTAAAAATTGAAAGCAATCATATAAAACTAAAAGTACTTTGCCATCATGGTTAAAGTATTGCTTCTGATATAAAAATTACTTGGAGCCAACTTCCATCACTAATGCACAAAGTGATTTGTGTGTTTGATGCAAAGTTTTAGAATTTTCCTGTCCTGAAAGGAAAACCAAACCCTTCCATTGGAAAACTTTTTTTGTGAAATGCAACCAGCTCTGAATCAGTATATATTTGCCACTTAATTCATTTATTAAATTCATGCTCAAGAGGTAAATCTTAATACAGTATTTCACTACTCTCTAGTCAAATGAGATATTCTAAGGATGTAGCTGTCAACAATAAATAGGTCATCAGCAGTGAGAACAGAAAGAAAACAAGAGTTACTCCAAAGGAAATAACTCTAGCAGGTGAAATTGCTCCTATTTATAATAACCAGCCTCTGGCAAAGGCAGTAGGAGGCACATGATCTAGCTATCTTTGTCTCTGGAAGCCTGGGGAAGAATTGGATGTGGTTAAAGAAATGAAAGCAGGGAAAGTACAGATCATACAAAGTAAGTAGAACAATGAGTCATTCAAATGTTTGATCCAGAATTTAACGATTAAGGAACACATTATAGCTAAAGACAAACCATAAATTACCTGGAAAACAGTCTTCCAAAGCCAATAGAGTTAGAGAGAGGAAATGTTCAATTTTGTGGAGGTGGGGAGGAGGGAAATGCCAAAATTTTTTTTTAAAAGTAAATTCCTCTAACATTTATTTGCCCAGAAGATAATTATCTCCTCCTTCGTAAGCCACAGTCTATTGATCAACTGAGGATGTTGGAAAGATAGGCCAGAATTCAGCCTGAGCACTGGAGCATACAGTTTACGGTTCTCTAGAAAACTTTCAAAGCCTTGTATCCTCCAAAAATCTAATAAATTTACTTCTCCCTGCACACACAGACAACAATCCAAATTCTTAAATTCAGAGAAAATAGTAGAACATGGAAGGTATCACAAAAACAAATGCTCAGTGAATTAGAAGTCTCTCCTACCAAGTATGCATTCAGAAATTTAGAGCTGGAAGGGGCCTTAGAGGGCATGTAGTCCAATCCCCTCATGTTATAGTTGAGGAAACTGAGGCCCAGAGGGATTAAGAGACCTACTCAAGGTCATACAGTTAGGAAGTGACAGGGCCAGTGTCTTCTGACTCCAAATCTAGCATTCTTTCCACTGTACCTGTTAGAATATTTGTTCTTTAACCTACTCACCTGGAAAATATTGTCACCTGCCATAAGGGTAGTTGTGCTGCCAAGGCTAAAATCTCACTCAATCTCAAAAGTTCTTAGAAGAAATCATCTTTTTTTTTTTTAATTGGGTGTAAGGAATGAAAACTAGGGACATCAGAATTAATCAAGGAAGCAGGACAGAGGTGAAGAAGTAGGCAGATAGCTGGTTTTCCCCTAGTGATTGCAACTAAGAAAAAGTTTATTCATAAAAATCACAGCTCTACAATTTGGAACTATGCCCAAAGGGCTATAAAAATGTGCCCTTTGACCCAGCAATAGCGCTTCTAGGGCTATATCCCAAAGAGATCATACAAATGTACAAAAAAAATTTATAACAGCTCTTTTTGTGGTGGCAAAGAATTGGAAATTGAGAGGATGCCCATCAATTGGGGAATGGCTGAGCAAGTTGTGGTATAGAAATGTAATGGAATACTACTGTGCTATAAGAAATGATAAACAGGCTGACTTCAGAAAAACCTGGAAAGACTTGTATGGTCTGATGCTGAGTGAAGTGAACAGAACCAGGAGAGCGTTGTACACAGTAACAGCTACATTGTGTGATGACTAACTTTCATAGACTTGGCTTTTCTCAGCAATGTGAGGATCTAAGACAACTCCGAAAGACTCATGATAGAAAATGCTGTCCACATCCAGAGAAAGAACTATGGAGTTTGAATGCAGATCAAAGCACACTATTTGTTATTTTTTTTTCCATCTGTTTAGTTTTGTTTCCTCTTTCTGGTGGTTCCTTCTATTGGTTCTAATTCTTACTTACAACATCACTAATGTGAAAATATTTTTAATAGGAATGTATATCCTATATACATAGGTGAGGTGAGGAGGGAGGGGGAGAAAAATTTTAAACTCAAAAGCATATGGAAGTGATTGCTGATAAATCAAAATAAATTAATTAAAATAATAACAATTTAATTTAATTTAAAAAAAATAAGATCATAGCTCTAGAGCAGTAAGAGACCCCAGGAAGCTTCTAGTCTAACTCCATTGTTTTACAGATAAAGAAACTGAACCCAGGGAAGTTTAAGTGACTTGTCTGATATACTCAGAGGCTGGCATTGAACCCAGGTCCTCTGCCTTTCTAGATGGCACTCTTTATACAGATCCTACACAGTCATCTCAGTCCCTCTTTTTATTTTTTTTCCCCTTAAAAAAATTATCCTGACACCACTCCAACAGAAGGTCAGTATTTCAAAGGACATGTTTGCTTTGACTGTGAATGACTTTGGGTTGTTTTGGGGGTTTTTTTAAGTATCAGTTGGTGCCATGCACACAACTAGCACGTGAGCTAGTCAATGTTCACAACTTAATGCCATGAAAAAGAAAATTTATTTGAGTCACCCAGTTTGTATAGCCCTAGCAAAACACCGCCTTGAAATGGCACTTTTATGAAGTATAAAGACAAGCACAAGACTTTTTAAAAATTATTATGTTTTGTTTTTACATCACCTACATATCCTAATCTATTCTTCCCCTTCCCAGAGAGCCATCCCTATAATTTAAAGTGAAGAGGGAGGGTGGGGAGAACTGATCAAGAACACTGAAAAACCTATCACCCAAGTCCAGCATTGTATGCAGGGACCCATACCCATGGTCCCCACCTCTGCAAAGATGGAAAAGAGAAAGTGCCTTCTCATATCTATTCTTCGGCTTTCCGTTGCACATGTTTTGTTGATATTCTCTTTTCCATTCATATTGTTGTAGTTATCATGTGCATTATTTTCCTGGTTCTGCTTATTTCATTTTGCATCAATTCATATGATTGTTCCCATGCTTCACCATATTCTTCATGCTTGTTATTCCTTATAGCATAGTAATATTCCATAATAATTACATTCATGTACCATTTTTTTTCCATCATTCTCCAATCAGTTTCAGGCACCTACTTTGTTCTTTGCTACTACAAAAGGCACGCTATAAATATTTTGGTATAGAGGACATTTCTTTTATCATTGAGCTCCTTGGGGTACAAGACATAAGACTTTATACATACTAGTAACTTCAGAATAGAAAGGGCAAGTGACTGGCATAAAGCACAAAAAGGGCTTCCAGGGATTGACTACACAGATGTGGGCAAATCACCAAGTCTTCCAGTAGGCTTGCCTGAGAGACTTAGACATAATGATACCCTTCTGACAGGGATTTTGTGAGAATGTACGTGAAATACTTTGAGATTGCCCAAATGAAAGACACTTCATAAATGCAAAGTGTTATTATTATTATTTATTAGTTTAAGGAGGTCTGGTGATGTAGCATGGGATAGGTTATGGAAGAAAGGAAGGAAACAAGCATTTATTAAGTGCTTACTAGGTACCAGGCATTGGGCTAAGTGCTGAAAATACAAATGCAAGCAAAAAAAAAAAGGGCAGTATTTACCCTTCAGATTATGTTTTAATGAGGAAAGATAGTAAGCAAAAGGAAGCTGAAGGGGTAAGGGAGTGGGAAGAGAAAGACGAAGCTACCAGGTGTGTGATATATGCTTCAATGGAGGGAATACCCATATTGATGATCTCTCTTTGTACTCTGCCCTTATCAGACCTCATCTGGGGTACTATGTTCAGTTTTTGGTGCAACGGTTTAAGCATATTGATCATCTGGAGAATGCTCAGAGGAGGGTAACCAGGGTGGCCTTTAGGGAGGCCTTTACCCCATGCATTATGGGGTTTGGTTGAAGAAACTAAAGGTGCTTGGCCCAAAGAAAAGAAGACTTGGAGGCTGCAGAGAGAAGGTGATAGCTCTCTTCAAGTACTTGAATGATTATCCTAAAGAAGAGAGATTTTAGACTTTAGTTTGGCTTCAGAGGGCCAAATGAGGAGCAGATCTGTCCTAAAGTGGAATAAAGAGGTGGTGCTTCCACTTCCTTAGAGGCTAGATAAGCACTTGTCCATATGTTATAGTAGGGGTTCTTTTCATTTATAGGCTGGACTAGATGGAGAATGGAATAAACACTTATTGAATGAATGCCTTACTATATGCCAGGTACTATGCTTAGCACTTTACAAAAATTATCTCATTTGATTCTCACAACCCTGTGAGGTAGGTATTATTATTATTCCCATTTTACACTTGAGGAAACTGAGGCAGAGGTTAAATGATGGCTAGTAAGTGTCAGAAGCTGGATTTGAATTCAGGTCTTCCTGACTCCAGGCTGTCCACTGTGCCACCTGGGTACCTCCAAAGACGGCCACTGAAGCCCCTTCCAACTCTCAAGTTCTGTGATATTCCAAAGATCCATGGTAGAATGAAAGAGAATGATGTATAGGAGAGATTATAATACGGTACCTGACAGAGGAAATAAGATTTTCCGGATAACTGGTCTATCCTTTTAAACACAAAAACTTTTTTTAAGCCATTTTGTATATAAAATAATTATTTAAATGTGCTAATTATGTATCTCCCTGCCTTCTTGAACAGAAGATTTCTGAGTGTAATTTAGTCACATATGGATGATGAAGAGTCATCACGATAAGTATCATTTGTTTACTGTGCAGTAACAATGTTTTTAGGTTTTTGTTGTTATTTTGCAAAGCAATTGGGGTTAAGTGACTTGCCCAGGGTCACGTAGTTAGTGTCTAGTGTCTGAGGTAGAATTTTAACTCAGGTCTTCCTGACTCCAGGGCCAACACCCCTTTAACAATGTTTTTAACATAAGA